GGTTTTTATCTATTGACATATATTTCGCTTTAATTTTTACGCTTTCGTTTATCCAAGAGTACTTCTCTTCTCTTTTTGTGCATTAAAATTATTTTTGTGTATTTATTCATGCTTTGGAAAATGTGTTCACTGAGGTTTGTAATAATACATTTAGATATGGTTTTGAGTTTAACTAGTCTACGACACCCATTTTTTCTGGTTATATACTGATTAACATCAGTTTTTGGGAACAAAAAACCGTATTTAGTTAGCAGTTTTTTAGTCTTTCTATCCAATAGCTAAATTTCATTGTTTCTTCCGTTAACTATTCCAAAACTGTATTGCGGCAATGGCACGGTCAGGCTGTTAATGGCTTGCATCTTATTTTTAGCACTGAGCTGAATGCTGTGACGGTGAATCTAATACGACGGTGGTATTCTTTTATTATTTTTCTTTCATTTTCCTATGTTCTATACCGTCACTTTAGTCAAATCCAAGATATTTGTAAACCTTCTCTTGTTCAAGATTTCGTATCTCGGTGACGTCATCCAGTTTAATGCCGATACCGCTTAAAACGTTTTCCTTTCCTGGTGGTAACTTTATCGCATTTATCTTATCCAAACTTTATATGCATATCATCATCATCACATTCTTCATCTCATTCATCCGTTCCTTCACTCCTGCATCAACTCACCAATTCAACGTTTCTGGTCAGTTCCATTTAGTTTAGTTGTTTACTCATTTATCATTGACTCCGTTCGTTCATTTTTTTAATTTTTTTCATTTTTTCATTCATTCGGTTATTTGTTTATTTATTTGTTCGTTTAGACTATATTCCTATTTATTTCATATTCAGTTAATTATACACACACACACACACACATATGTGCACACACGCACACACGTGCACACACACACACTTACATGCACGCAAAAAGAAATAAAAAATTGTTTATTTACTATATTATGTTATATTTATAATATAATATTATTTGTCCTGTATGTGTGTTTGTTTACAGAGATTGTGTGTATGTGTGTGTGTGTGGTGTGTGTGTGTAATTCTATATTTTTGAATATATTTTCACTGCTGTTTAGGATTGTTGATGTGTAAAAATAAAAATGTGACAAATAAAATAGACTGGATGGATGGCTGGATGTACTGAATGAGTGATTGAGTGATGGATTGATTGATTGAATGAATGAATAAATGAATGCACTCATATTGAATGAAACAGCTTGAATGAAATAGAATGGAACAGAATGAAATGAGCAAGTTTTTGAATGAATAAAGAACTGAGCGTACAAATTAGTTAATGAATGAATGAATGAATGAATGAATGAATGAATGAATGAATGAATGAATGAATGAATGAATGAATGAATGAATGAATGAATGAGTTCGTCGCAAACTATATTATAATTTTTCGCATTTAATTTCAGTTCATCCATGCATAACACATTTGTTTTTTGCTAACTACATAACCAAGATAATCTTTGTTTGGCATTGTTGTTAGAGGTATTAGAGCTGTACACGACAGTAAGTGATAATGATTCACCTTGGAGAATAGGTTTTTTTATAGCTATTCATTTAATTTTGATATATCTTTTTTCCTGAAAGCGTTGCACTTTTGTGTTTCATTCTTCCTTAGCACATTGAAGAAAAAGGGCGACAGTTGGGTTAATTTGGTATTTTTTTAGTAATGATATGATCCAACAAGAGAAAACACTATCAAAGACCTTTTAGTAGTCGATCCAGGCCACACTGAAATTGTGTTTTTCTATTTTTTTGCATCTTTTATCCCCGCTTTGTCTACGAAAAGTTAATCTTTGCACCCTCTAGTTGATCTTCTACATCTTTAGTGTTTTAGGAGTAAAATGCTGTTTTCCTTAAAATGAGTGTACAATATACCAGTGATTAAAGCGGTTAGCAACTTGTACATAGTTGGGAGGCAAATAATCAGACGCTAATTCTTAGGGTTTTTAAAAACCTTGCTTTTTGAAAATAGATAGGTCAGAAAGTAAACCATTTCAATAGGGTAACTGGATTATTATGAACTTTTGTTAACGCTCTGTACAAAGAGCCTTCCAGTTAGCAAGATTTAAAAAAAATTTTTAAGTTTCTATTTTCTCAACTGAATAATCGTTTCAACTTTGAGGCTGTTGATGGCAGTAATTTATTGGTTCCCTGTTTAATTTAACAGCGTCATTGTTGTGACAGTTGTCGTTTTCTAAAATGTTTTCCCAGAACACTTTAATATCTTTTTTAGAGAGAGATTCAGTGATTGGGGTTTGTTTTTCATTTAGTCCTTGTGTTTTTTTTGAACCGTTTGTTTTGGTGATAATGGTCACACCGTTCAGTGAATTTTTTCCGACTCTATGCTTTAACTTGTAGTTTCATCTTAATGATATTTATCGCTAACTCTGTGAAATTTTTGGTTGATGTCATATCGTTTTTTATGCTACCAGCTTTACAGTGTAGGGTTTTGATTTGCCACACCTTTTTTCAACTCTCTCGAAATTGATGTTTTTTTACGAAGGTTATATTTATTTAATTTAAAATATTTTACTTCAAAATTTTTATTTTTAATTCGCGTCTTCCATTTTGGTCTTTTATGAAGTAGAATTTTCCGTGGTTGCTTCAGATCAATTTCGCCTGCAAATAGTTTTGCAGCAGGGTATATCAACTGATTTAAGTCTGTGAAATTTAATTGTTTGATTTTTCTGATGCTATCAAGAGATTTATTGTTAAGCTGGAATAGTTCATCTGATACTTTTGGAGGTTTATATTTGTTTTTAAACCTTCAACGTTGTTCATTGTTAAAAATCTGCATCTCAGGCATTTTTAAATGTATTTTTTGTGTTTCGTCAACAGAAACATCAGTTTTCTCCATTTTGTGCTTTTTAAGCAAAAATTTCTCTACATTCATCAGTTTTTGTAAGACCTGTGATGATATATGATTAGGTTCTGGTTTTCTTCTAACTTTATTGGAAATGTTATCAATCTCAATTTGTGTGAGCCATCTGTTGTATACAATATTTCCTCTTGCATTTGCAAGACTGTTTGCTGTAATGTTAGGCCGATTTGTTGGGTTACGTTCCCACAACAAAAGTCAGTCTTGGTCATTCTTTTGAATTTTGCATATGTGTATGGCCACGTGACTTCTTTGTACTCCTCCCGCGACCACGCTTTTCGTTTTTTTGTTTGTGTTGTGTTAGCATTCCTCAATTCTACAACTTTGAATACTCTTGGTGTTGTGAAAAAGTTGAGTCACAGGATTTATCGAAACTGTGTTTTAACTTTTTGACCCCAACTTGATCAACAATTATTGGGGAACTCGCTTCTTGATAGTCCACGTGACCAGCAATGTGGCGTGAGTTTCTTGATTTATTTGTCATGTTTACCGAATTACTGCTTTCGTTTTCGTCATATCGTTTTGCAGAATTAATCTTTTCTGTTCGTTTAAATCCGTTGCTGACGTCATTAAAAATATATCGTTGTATATTATTTTTTTGTTATTAATATTATTAATGTTATTAATATTAATATCATTATTGATACTATTGGTGCTACTATTGACGTTATCATAAAAAATTTTGTTTATGGTGATGTTATTGAAGTTAAAGATGTTGTTAAGTTGAAAATGTAATTGAAAATGTTGAAAACAAGTACTATCATGTGTTTGATAGCCAAGTCGAAATGGATGGCTACTCAAGTGACGTTTGTTGTTTGTCATAAATTATTAACGTTGCTACAAACATGTTCATCTGTCGGTTTAAAAAGCTTTCTTGTTCAATGTTTAAATTTTTCATTAACTGGTTTTATAAACAAATTTATATGTTATCATTTTGTTGAATAAGTTCGGTGCATTTCAATAGAAAAGTTCCATTTTGCGGCTTGTTTGATTGCTCAGGAATATAATTCCTACAACATGCATTGTTGCTGCGTGTTTTCTTGTCTTGTATTATTAATATAACTAATCGTCATTCATGAATTTTTTAATACTTTCATTTTTTGCTGTCAAACATAGCATCTTAAATGAACGCACATACCTAAGCAGAAATGAACGGTTCACCAAATTAAAATAAATACGAAGTTTTAATTGGCCATTATTAAACTTGCAAAATAGCATTCTTCTAAAAATTATTATGGGGTTTCAAAAAAGCTAAATTCAGTAAGTTGGAACTTTGGGACACAACCTAATTTCAATTGTTTTGAGATTTGGTTGAGATCCGGTTAATGCTTCAGAACCAATTTTTTAATGTAATTGAACAAAAGTGAAAATAACCGTCAAATATCAGAGGACTACGTGAAACAAAGTTGATTTAATAGTTTTTGAAAAACTATTATTTCATAAAAACTGTATTTTTGTGTAAGGTTTTTTTTTGTTTTTTTTTAAATTTTTTTAAACTTTTTTTATGTATTTCAAAAAGTTTGACACATGTCTATCAAGTAATAAAAGAAGCAACAAGATTTTACAAACCCTCAAAAGCTTTTAAAGACTGTTAATTAGTGATCAGTATTGATTACGTAACTTGTTCCTTGCATGGTTGCCTGATTGCATCCTACCTTTGATTTCAAATTGCCTGGCTGGCGGATGAATTCATACGGTTTTTGGCGCAAGGCTGATTACTGTAATAGGGAACATAAAAAAAAATTGTAAAGTTCATTTGTAAAATAGTCAAGATGAATTAAAATTTTAATAAAGTTACATTATAAAATTTATAGAAGTGATTTTGGCTGATAATGATTAGATTTAAAATTTTTTAGAAAACAATATATATTCAATAAAAAAATTAGTAGTATTATATAATTTCATACTTGAATTTTTAATATTACTTCAGTAATATTTCCGTTCATAAAATTTAGCCACTAAAAATTTTACTCAATTGAGTTGAAAATTGACAACAACATTCAAGCAAGCATTGCCTAAATGTTTTTCACATTAGATAAATTATTGCAGAAAACAAGCGAAACCAAAAATGTGCAATACACAGTTTTGAGAGTGGATTCCTGGGTTCAGCATCATGCCGATACAAAAAAAAATATACGCTTCCAGTACATGCGGCAAAGTGTACAACCACAGAAGCTCCTATAACAGACACAATGCCTTGAACACGGGAAGCCGGTTTGAATGTAGAGTTTGTGGCATGAAGTTCACACGGGCAAACAGCAAGAAGTGGCCTGGGTCAAAAATCAAAGTGAGATTTTTAGTTTAGCTTCATTATTTGCTATTATTATCTGTTCTAGTTTAAAGCACTATTTCGAGACCACATTTTTTAAAACATATTTTGTGATATATTATATTATTTGAAATAAACTATTTTGCCAAAAACCTGTCTATTACATCAATTTATATTGCCAATAATAGCTGCAACACTCATCATATAATGATTATATAACCATTAATGGGATAAGGACAACTCACTCTCATCAAATAAAAATGACTATACAAATGCCAACTCTATTCAAACTGTCAAAAATGAACACCCTATAAAAAAGTTACTTTGAAAAAATTAAAAAGATACAAATTAAAATACACACACATTCAAAATTGTACGCGATACCTCTTATGTAATCAATACGGTTTTATTTGGCAAAAGAGCATATGCATATGAAATGACAGAATTCAAATAGACGACATGAATAGAGTACAGTTGTTTGAACAACTGCGGAACAGTGCTGAACGTACCGTCGGCAAACCACTCGGCTGATTGAGCCGAAATCTGCAAGCTATTTTGTGTGGCAAAAACGAGAATACGACCGGGTAAGCTTTTGTTCGGAATCGTACATTAGAAAATTTTGTATAACTCCGTTGATGGTTATTTCTCGAAAATGCTGAAACAAATATTGTTCAATTAACGAAAACTTTCAAAATATATATATATATATATATATATATATATATATAGGCATTACTTGAGAAATCATCAAATTAGCGACGTTTTGAGGCAAAGCCGGTACATCATCATCTTGCCTAAAACGGCGGATTTGCCTTTTCAGAGAATTCATACTGGGTAGAAGAGCAGCAGCCTTAGTATGCAAATCTGCAACGATTTCGGTCAGAATCTGACGAGGGGTTTCTAGCGTTTGCATCGATCGGTCACGAATGTTTGCAATAGCATTTAGAGCTAAAGGACTGTCATCTTGTGTGGCATGAGTGTGATCTGTCTCATTTTTAACAACTGAGTCGTGCAAGCCTAGTGTCCAAACCCGTCCATTGCAAATAGACTGCTTTTCACAAACCCATATATACCATGAGTTTCGCTAAGATTTCACTTTGAAAAAATGTAAACACGACTTCCGTGAAGAGGCTTCTGTTTCCCACCGTTGATTCATTTAACGACGGGCGATAACTCGTAGAGATAATTAATTCGTAAACAAGACAATTAATAATGTACTGTACAGGAATGTTATTCAGTCTACGTGCGTTTGGCTGAAATGCTGCCTCATTAAATTTTGCTGCTGAATTACCTTACCAAACCAGCATGTCGATTGCAACCGCTCAAGAGGATAGCGATGCGTTAAGAAAAATCTGTACATATTTCGTTGATATGTTATTTTTAAAACATAAAAACGACGGATTTAAATTAGCGAATGTTAGTTTGTACCCAAAAAATGTTTTTGGCGAAGAGCTTGGTCTTGCACTGCAAGTAGTCCGGGAGCTAGTTGTCAGTTTTCCGGAGATAAGTTGTCCGGAGGCGAGTTGTCCGTGGGCGAGTTGCGGGAGGCGAATTGTCCACAAACCATATTAATTTTCACACACACTGACAAAATTACAAACATATGAATATTCCGAGTAAATTTTTAGCATTTGTTCACCAGAGTTCTTGTAAAAAATGGAAGCTTGTTCATTCAAAAATTATATTTGCGGCCACCGTTTATTGAAACATGTATTCAATCAAAACTAAAAGTAAAACTATTGCACGTCATTACGACTTTCAAGTTTTCAAGTCAAATAAATATATTAAAAAAAAAAATAATATTTTTATTGTGTAACTAATTTGGCAAATAGGTTTTAAAGTCTTAAATAATTTTTGCTTTGGAAATAAAAACATTATGTATGAAAGTCATCTGAAACTGTCTCACCCTGGAAAAAAGTAACTAAAATCCGTGTCCCTTGAACATTACCTTGCAAATTTTGATAGTTTTTTTTCAAATGATCCATAATATATTAATAGCGCAATAGATTTGTATATTAAATAAAAACAAATGAATAAACAAACTAATCTATTCCTGTTAATTTACTCCAGGAAAAGTTTTTTAAATAGCTTGTAAGCGTTTATTTCATTACAATTGCATTGAAAATATAAATGTAAACTAATTGCTAAATGGTGGTGTTGATTTGAAATTGTTTTGTTAAATTTTGTAATTTTGGACAACTCTGAAGAAACTTGTTTTATTTTTTTTATTAAATAACTTTGTTTTAAATTTAAATTAATTTGTCATACTTACTATTTAAATATTTGTATATTTCTTTATAATTTATGAGTAGCATAGTGTATAACTTATTGCATCGTTTAAAAACGGTTTTTGATTTTAAAAATATTAGTATTTAATTTGAAAGTTTAATGTTTTTTTAATATTATCCTATTATTTCAATTTATTCACTTTATCTTATTTTATTCTGTTTAATATTGGAAATTTTAGATATTATGAAGTTTTTCGAAAAACATTTTTATTAATATTATTTTAAATATTTTAATTTTCTAAAATTAAATTACTTAAATTGTATTTTTATTGCATTAAATTAGTTTTTATTATTAATTTTTTAATTTTTCATTATTACTATTTGCCTAAATATCCATATATGTTAAATCCCGTTCATTTTATTATTTTATAATATTGGTTTATTTTCTCATATAGTTGCTATTTTTGATCTTCATGTATTATTGTTTCTGGATTATTTTTAAGTTTAAGTATTAAACATTAACTTCAGGTAATATATATTTATTTATCCATATTTATTTATTAGTTTGAATTATTTATTTATCTTATATAATTTATTTGCCATCTCATATAGAAGTATAAAAAATTGACAGAATGTAATGGCAACCTACTACTGTACAAATCTTTTGCCAAGAAAATCATCGACAAATACAAACCAAATCGAAAAGCATCACGATAGTGAAACGTTTCTCTGTGTCAAAATGGAACGTTAAAACGTTCCACCAGACTGGGAAATCTGAAAACATGACACTAGAAATGAAAAGAATGAATCCAGCATTCTAGGTTTGAGCGAAACTATGTTAAAGATTTCAGATATCATTACTTTTGAACAAAGTAAATTTATCTACTTTGGAGGTGATTCACACGAACGTGGAGTAGGTATACTTTTGAACAAAGAAATGTCTAAACATTAAGAAGGTTTCTGGACGGTGTCAAATAAAGTTTTGTTGGTCAAATACACACAAAACCTGTCAACTTAGCTGTAATTCAACTTTATTCGCCAAAGTTTGAAAGCAGTGAAAAAGATCTATATGCTTTTTACAGTGATCTTGATGATGCTTTAAAAACATGTAAATCTCAAGAAGTTGTTACTATCATGGGTAACCTGAATGCAAAAGTTGGCTTAGAATAATATATGAGGTGGTTGATCCTCACAAAATAGGGGAAAGAAATGAAAATTGAGAAAAGTTGATTGAATGGTGTGTCGCAAATGATGAAATTATTACTAACACCTGATTTGACTATCACCCAAGGCGAAAATATACTTGGAAAAATCTCGGAAATAATGTAAGAAATATAATTGATTACATTATTATAAAAAAAAAAATTTCAAAATGCTGTTTTGAAATGCAAAAGTTACCCTAGAGCTGATTGTGGTAGTGGCCTGTTGTTTGTCGAGGGACTATATTACCACAGCGTGGATAATCTTCCTGACGCCTAATAAATAGTTGCCTCCATTTCAAAGATTACGTTATGAGTCAAATAGAAAAATCTAACTGTTTAACATACTCTATGTCATCACTATCATCATTGGCACGATAAGAATCATCATTGTTTTGACCATCATCATTTTCATATCATCAACAATTTCTCAAATGCTGGTAATAAAAAAGATGCAGCAAGACACGTGCACCTATCTAAGTGCACAAGTCCTCAGCATTCAAATGCATGTGTTTCAGTGCACAATTTTCGTGATGCATACTCACACTAAAATATTTTATTTTGTATTAATTTAAGTTTTAATGTAAGTTAAGAAAAACGAATAAAGTCAAAAGTTTCAAAAGTACTTAAAGATTGTAGACGTGGAAACTGTTTGGTGCCTACCTTTCCAACTAACGTTCACTATTGTCTGAGGAATATTGATTGATCGATCAAATTGTTTAAACGAGATCTCAGCGAAAACAATCCCCCACTGCATTTCAATGATTGATCAGATGTTTCAATCAGCTGGATTAGTCCTCACTGCCACTTATTTCAATAAGTGGACGTACTTACTACAATGTACTTATATGGGCGAAATGTACTTTTAAGCTTACAACGTGTTCTCACTTCGTACTTCATTTTGTAATTTGTATAAAAAAAAACTAACATACGTACAATGTTCTTACACGCACCCACACGCGCACACACACACACACACACATATATATATATATATATATTATATATTATATATATATATATATATATATATATATATGTTGGTAATAGACCATAATTTTTACAATATTCTATAAAATATAATTTTATAGAATATTGTAAAAGTATATATATATATATATATATATATATATATACTCCGGTTCCAGCATTCCGGTGGTCTGTAGTCTCCTGTTGTTTAGACAATCCTTCGACACTCATTCTCTTCGTGGATTTGCCGTACTCTTGTGTCTTTCTTCAACATCAGTTTTGCCGATTCCTGTGTTACATACTGCTCCAGAATTTTTTTAAGTGTTTTTATTTTTGATATTGCGAGGTCATATTTCATATCTTGGTCTCGTAGGGCTTGAATAAACGCTTTTGTCGTCGTTTTGTCCCTGTTCATCATCAGCGCTTATATAGGGATATTGCAAAGTTTTACAATCGTCTGTGTGCAAGTGCTTTTATTTTGCTTTGTCCTGTCAGTTTATTATAACTTGATCTTGTCTACCTATTATATTTTTGTTCTACTCATTTTCTTTGTTTGTAAATTCTTTCATTAATATTCTTCTGGTCGGTTTTTCTTTGCTGCTTGTAAATTTGCGGTTGTCTGTGGTCAATGAAGATCGCA